GTCATCTGCTCTGTAACAATTTTCTTTCAGTGTCCGCAACATTTTTTTTTTCTACAAACTAACATCAGAAATGCCTGACTCCCAATCAAGTTTCCATTATTTAAAAACATTTTGTTTGAGCACAGACGTGCCAGATACCTCTTCACGAGACATCTTTAGGTAAATATGACTTTCAATATTGGCAAAGGTTTTCTTACTGCCATACTTCTTGCCTGCCTCCTGATAAAGTAGGTATAATATGAGCACCTCAGATACATTGGTGGGAAGCAGTAACATGCATACTAAAGACCTGTTTCTTCTACAAAACTTTTGTAAATGAGGGTGGATAAGTACATATTTAAACATACTCCATTCTATAAGCTTGCTGCATATAAGGGGACCCTGATATCCCATGGTCCTTCTTCAACCTGCATCTACACTGGAGAAAGCTGATTATTTCTTTTACATTTCTTTGATTATTTCTTCTTCTGGAGGCAGCCAGCTGTTGCTGCACACACTTTCAGCCACCTGCCTATTCACTGACAAACAAGCAGCCATGATAGGGCTGACTTGCAGTGAATTTTAGTTGCAATAGGGATTTAAACTCTAGACATCATTATTTAGCAATGCCTCAAACAGACTGTGCATTTTATAGAAATCTGCAAGATCCTATGAAGCTCCAGGCAAGCTGTTATTAACAATTCTAATTAGTAAGGCCAATGAATGAACTAATTCCAATGAGCAGTTTTTAAACCAGGTTTCATCAGTCTTAGAGTAAATTTTGACATTTGCAAATCAGAAACAAATAGGCTCTACAGATTTCTCTGCGCTGTATAAATTCTGCATTTTCTACAAAACCTACACTATCTTAAATCCTTCATTTAATTTCTTTGGTTTCTTAGAAACAAAAGCTAAAGTAAACTGAGCAATGAAAGACAAGCAAACAAAGGTAACTCTTTCTGTCCCCTAATGCTCTGGAGATGCCTGTAAATACCAGTTTTAGCAGGTTGCATGGAAGAATACCAAATGAATACAGCTAGAATGAGTTTTGGACCATTGCTTTCCAGCAAAAACTGTCTTTGGCACTTATATAATCCAATTCTATGACGTTACTTTACACATAGTCCCATATCAAGTTGGCTGAGGAAATTAAAGACAACTTTTACGAAACAGGCACTTCAAATTAGAACAGAAAAATCTGCTCCCCATTAGGCAATACAGGAGCTTTTTTCAGAATGACAGAAACAGCAAGTCGTACCAAAAATAAGATGAGAGAGTTCAGTAAACTCAGACTGTCAGGGTGAACGTTTTACCCAGCTCTATTAGACTTAACAGTAGCACCCGGAAAGTCTGCAGGCTACCATAGGCATAGGAATGCATACCAAGGCATTAAAAATACACAGCATGGAAAAATTCTGCAAAAATTTGTTCACCCTCCAATTCTACATTTAGATCTGTCACTTGTGACAGTATCACAGTATCACTTGTGAGGCCTCCAGATAGCAGAATCCAAAACATACCTCACCTGAGACAGTATTAAGATCTGACTAATCAGCACCATGGGAAAGCCTCTCTCATCACTAGCATAATCCCACTGAGGTGCCTGAAAAAAGTGACAGCTACAAAACCAAGGAATTCAGGGAACAAATTCCCATCTTGGGGCTAGGTATCTCAGTGCCTGTGCAACACAAAAACCAGTTAACCATGGAGGCTCCTTAGTATATAAAGCTACTCTAGCAAAACGCTTGGGATAAGGTTGTCATATTTCACTCAACTACAGCAAGGATATTAAGTCTCAGACTCTAAGCACTACAATATGTCATAAACTGTGATATATCTAGTGCCGCATCAGCCTCTGCTCTCCAGTAGCTCCTCAGGGCAAACTTACTGTGCAAACACTGAGATTTATTAATTGGGCCTACGCAGACTGCTTACATATACCTTCAAAGTCACAAGTTCTCTCTGACCTTCTGACTTGGGCTTTCAAAGTAACATGGTTGTGAGACCCATAACAGCAGGCGCTGTTAAACTGAAGAACTTCTGCTTAGCAATAATGCTCCATCTAGATACAGAAAATGCTGACCACGTGGGCTACAAAACACTGTGCAGCATCTCTCCCCAGTGAACGCTACACATAGCACAAGTATCTCAATATTATGAAGCATTACACTCTATGGGTAAGAAAAAAGTCATCCTACAGGTTTCTGTACCAGAAGGCCATTTCTCATAAAACAAACCTCTCTGAAAAGAAGCTCAATGCACCTAATGGATTTGGACTTCAGAAGCCAAAGGGGGAGAACAAGTAATTGGAAGAAGCCTGATAATACATTGCTGAGCTTCTCCTGGAAGGATTCTCTATTATAAAACTTCTGAATTAACTGGCCACGGAAAGTAACAATAGAGAGTTCCTATGGTTGACAAAAGAGATGCTGCCCTTTAAACATGGTGTAAACATGGGACAGATTTAGGGTTAAAAAACGAGTAGCAACTTTTATGGAAAAAAATTGCTGATGTTTTCTTCACTCTTGTTTTTGCAATTTTACATACCCATACTTATGATAAAGTGCATGAGTGGAGAGGTTGAAGGGTAATTAAGTTGAGGCCTGTCACAAAATCCAGCTCAGGTCCTACAAAGAGTGATCTCCTCCACCTAAGCCATTACAGCATCCTACTGTTCTAACGAAAATTATGCTGAGGTGTCCCATAGCACAACCAGGGCTGCCAGCAGCAGATAGTTACAGCAAAACTATGGAGGAAGGAAGGCTAACAGTTCTGTCTGCCTCTCAGGTGACTTACTCCACCTACTGTCCAAAGAGGGACAGAGGCAGCAAACACCTAAAAAAATATTGGGTCTTGGCAGCACCTTAATACCACCAGGCTTACCACTGTTTGCTGCTAAGTAAGCAGGTTCTATTTATTTCGAAGCCATCAGCAGCAAAACAAGTAGTCATTTCTCCAGCTGTCCATAATTCAAAATGTAAATGCAAAACTAAAAAAATTCTTTGAACAAACAGATTCAACCATTCCAAGTACCCTACTGGGAACAGTTTTCTTACTTACAAAAGAGCCAAATAAGGCAAAAAGACAATCCATCTGGGTTTAAAAGTTCCCTGCTACTTCTACAACAACTATTCAACAGTCTGGAAAAAACAAAGTGAAGACCACAGGCTGGAATTCTTCCAGTGAAGCTCATAACACATGCAAAAATCACAACCATACTGACACATTGTTCGTAGGGACCAAAGTTCCCAACTTTGCTCACAGTCAATGCCTGGATCAAGTTCAGGCCAAGTGGAAGTACTTCATGTGTGAATCTGCAGTCTCTGGGATGCCCTCTGCACCAAAGTGGCACTTTGCTCAGCATTACAGTTCCCAGTGAACAAAGTTCAAGCAGCTAGCTGCAAACTTCAGATGCTGTTTACTTTCACTTCCTTTCAGAGTAAAGGAGCTTTCCACTACAACCATAAAATATTCAGCAGTCAGCTTAATTTTTTTATAAATCCATTTTTGTTTTTTTTTTTTTTTTTTTTTTGTTTTAAGTCTAACATCCACCAAAAAGGCTAGCAAGCCTGACAATATACTTGCTGCTATTGTGTGGCACTTTGCTAGGAACTTGAAGTATAAAGACTAACAAGCATTTTATGGAAGTTAATCTCAAATAGAAAGCCACAAGTTAGAGGATGAAGATGACAATGTAATCAAGAAAATTGAATCCTTGTAGGGCCTCATCTTTGTAGCTGGAACACTTCATGTGTTCATGTTTGTTATTTCAAGATTCCATATCCCTCTAACAAAGCACCTACAGAAAGTTCAGAGTAAACAGGAGAGTGAAGTTGTTTTCATCAACAAGGTCAAGTAACCAAGTGCTTGAGCGAGCACCTGGTTAAGAAACAACATCAAGTAATCAAATGTTGTCTCAAAGAGGTTTGCTCTTTTTTTCAAAAGAGAACTTTATCTACACACAAAAATTTAAATAAATACTAGCAGCTTCCTGGCAATAATCCCTGAAATGTAACAGCAACCCACAGTTCCTCTTACCATTTCAGAGTTAAGTTTCTTCCAGAAATAAAGACAGATAGGTCCACAAAAATGAGCTATATATTCTAACACACCTCAAACAGTATGTAATAAATACCTCACTTATATCCCATCCATGAACTCATCTTTCACAGAATTATTTCACTGCACAGAGAAGTTGTTGAGCTTCAATATTTACAGCAAAGTGAGGACAAGGTAAAAGTAGGCAAAGCTATAAACAGCAGCACTGAGATGTGGGGAAAATGTGGCAAACATGCATAAGGCAGCCCAGGAAAACGCTTGGTGAATGAAAAAAGGAAAAAAAAAAAGAAATCACTGATGTCCTTTATGTCTGCAGGCTTTATAGTTGCTTTTTTTCTGTAGTCCTTCCTCCCAGTAGTATCACTAAGTATCACACAGCTCATGACTAACCAGCTGCACCCTGTAACTCTATAGAGGTGACTGTGTGCAGAGAGAACCCTTATGTTCATAGTTGCCTCTCCCCTGTTCAATATGCAGAAGCCATTTTAACACACGATTTCAGGAATTTGTTCCTATTGGAGTATCACAGGGCACGTTCTGTGACCACTTTCAGTCTACAGAAAAAACTGTTTTAAACTTTATCAATTTGTAGTGAACCCAAATCAACCACTGAATAAAATACAAATATGCGCATTGGTGATCTGTCCAAATATGTCTATGCCCAAGTAATTTCCTAGGCCTCAGAAACATATGATCCCACCCTCGCTTTCTCACCTGGCTTCAAGTGTGGTCCATGCGCGTGGTCATTCTGAACCGCAAGAATTTGAACAGCTGTCTTGTATGGAGAGCATCAGTGCTGTAATCAGTCTGATCAGCACTCAAACCCCTCTCCTAGACAGGAAAACACAGGCGCTTGCCCTATGACATTCCCTGACAGGCGAGGTCCCCAGTACTTGTCTTACAGCTGGACTGACCGGACAAGTAAGAAAAGGCATAAAATAGCCCAGTGTTTCTTCTTTTCGTTACTTGATCATATGAGTCTCTTCATCAGCATCATAAAACTCCTCATCTTCACTTCCACTCCCTGCAGAACTGTCTTTGTCTCCAGACTAGAAATAAAAATGAAGTCATTAGTTAGCGCCAAAGCCACTAAATCAGCATGAACCATTACACCTCTGTTGGAATGCTGGTAGAGAAAAAGTAAGAAAAAACAGGTCAAATAACTGTATTAAAATTTTGTAAGAGACATTATGTGAATTCATATTTCTGTGTCCTTAGTTCTTCAAAATCTCTTTTAAAGAGACAGGTTTCTAGTAGATGGACTTTCTCTGCTCCATCAGTACACTAGAGCATACATGCAGGAGAGAGTGTTACCACTTCATATGTTCAGAAAGTAAACTCCCTACTACAGGCATACCTACTCCAGCCAGAGTCCTTTTAACAATAAAATTTGTATCATATACCCAAACTAACCTCAGCTGTTACAGCTAACTGTTAAAAAGATTCTCTTCCTAGTACAAACTCCATCTAGTTCGAGTATTCAGGGTTTTTTTGCCAGTATGCTTGCATCCACCTTAAGACTGCATATGACTAGGCAGGCAGAAAAGAAGGGTGAGAGGGTGAAAAACAGAGAAACAGAAATCATGTTCCTGACTGACAGTACCATACAAGCAAAATCTGTAGCTTCAGATCAGTCTTCAGAGTTTTGCTACAGCAACGCGTGTTAACTGCAAAGGAATTTCAAACAGTTTGAGCACTAAGACCTGTCAGAAGATATAAAGGGAATCATGTTATGCTTTTTTCTGGATTTCTAGAATTAGAGGAAAAGTCAGGCTATCGCTGGATGCTGTCCAACTTGAATATCACATTCATGTATGTTAACAAGGACAAAACCTCCATTCTGGGCAACCAGAATGCATGTTATCCTGAAAGCAGTACAAAAGGACAATGGATTCCACAGGGGGAATTCAGGGTATGCCAAATAAATTCTGTATCTTTCTTACAGCAGTTCTGTAAGACCTCTCCATGGCCTTGTCAAATAGGGTTAATGTTTAACAGCTTTCCATTTTATCAGTGCTTTCTTTGTGAGCTTTAAAATAAACTCCTAATGTGTCACAGACATTCCAGATGTAACTTCAGTAAAGTTATGGGATTGCTTCAGGTCTGAACCAACGAGGTTTTTTTTTTCATTTAGATTCAATAATTTTAATCCATCTGGAGAAAGTGTTCCTGAAGAATGTTCTCAGTTGTTTTTTTTTGTCTTCTGGGGAACCTGTTCAGGTTGGGATTTTTAAGAAGCCTGCAGAAGGGCAAGCAGCAAAGATTTAAACCTGAGAGGACTGCTTGACATAAGTGAACCAAGTTGTGCAAATACTGACAGACAGACAATACTTGTCACCCCAAAGAGCAATACTGACCTTACTTGGTTAGAAAGCAAAGTAAGTGTCACTTTCCCCCCTCTAAGTTGTAACACCTACACTGTTTGCTAGAATTGTTTTTTGTTAGTAAGCCATCTGCACAGTTAAAATGTAACAATGATGTAATTACCAAAATAACAGCTGGTGTAAGCTAGATGTAAACATGTATGATGGATTTGTGTAGCCAGCAAGAATGTGGTGCCATAACACATTATCCAATATGGTTAAAAAGGTTTATAAAATGCACATGTAAAGTAGCCAAAGTATAAAATTAATTGTTACAGGGCTGCCTCTTTCCAGCTTTCTTCAAGGGTGCTTTTGTCACTAAACTGTGCTGTTCTGTCAAGAATTATTACAGCTAAAATTGGTAAACAAGGCAACATGTTGAAGCCTTTGAAAGGAAGCAACTGTTCTCATTCTAGAGGTAAACATTACTCTGCCTCCCAATTTCTGTGAAAATAAGTTTATGGCTACCCGTGAATCTCAGACCGCTTGACAAATATTAATCAAGTGAGAGTAAAACGTATTGTAGGGATCCTGTCTCATCTCAGCCTAATGGGACAACTAACATTTTTTATTATGAGTTGCCCTTCAAGTCTTCTGACCACTTATTCAATTTTTATTAGTCTATCAATACTTCATTTTGGGACCAGGATTTAAACATTAAAACCTTACCCAAATTCAAACATCCACTTCCAGCTCTCTAGCTACTTTGCTCTAATCCCACCCCATTCACAGATGAGCAGCCATGTAAAAAAACCTCCACACGACTGGAAGACATACACACCTCAAGAGGTGCCCAGGAGTTTGACAAAATGAAATATAAAGTCACTTGAAAAAACACTCAAGGAAGCCTCACTAAAAAACATCCTGCTGCCATATTTATTTATACTTATGCCTGGGAGTTTTGTAGTTCCAAGGTTTTCAACAACTCATTTCCCAGAGTCAGGAGTGGGACAGATCTCAGAGGTGAGTTTAGCTTTAACACATTTAAAGAGTCTCTAGGACAAACCTAACAATAGGCATTGCAGAACAGCCGGTGCAGTTCAGGGCACAAGAACAGCATACCTTTGAGAACAGCCCTTCAAAAACAGGCTTCTGTTTTCTTTAATATCTGAGACTTATCAAACTTCAGTGGCCAGCTTTACATGAAGAATGCTGCAAGAATCCGTCTTGGAGATTCGAGAGGCACAGACACCACCAAGTCCTTTATCCCAAAGGAAAAGATTGTAAGCTTTTGGCGCTGAAGGGATGAATTAACCCAGCTATGTTTCAGCCTGCATTTTCAGACAACATTTCAGACATGATGGTAAGGTTACTAAAATCTTCAGCATCTCCTTGGGTCCTATCCTCCACAGGCCAAGAATCACTATACTAATCTATTTAGAGCAGCATATTCAGGCTGACAGCTGAAATAAACACAACAGTAAAGTACTAGGAAAAAAAACTGAATATACCTGTGAGCCATCTAGGGCTTGCAATGACATGGCTTCATCACCCAGCCTCCAGTACGAGCATACCTGCAGGTCTGAAATAGTTTCTAGCAAAGGGCTGTTTAAGGTCTCTGGCAACAATAAACTTAAGAGCCCAGACAAAAGACCAGTCGCTCCAAACACAATGTAAGGCAGAGACCATTGTACAGATTTCTGGAAAAAAGAACAGAGAGAGTTAGGTTGAGATTGGTTCCCTCTAGTTCATACTGCATATTAAAGTACTTAACCTTTACAACCATTCCACCTCGCGAGCGTTTGTGTTTGTATTCAGCATAAAAGTTACCAACCCTACTGTGGGGTTTTTTTTTTAACCAATATTGTCAATTGTATCTTATCAATACTATTAGATCCACGCAGATTTTGGGATGGACTTTAAAAGAAATGCCTGCCAAATTTATCACTTTGCAGCAGGCAGGCAATATCACAGAATCAGACATACTGGTTGGAAGAGATCTCTTGAGGTCATCTAGGCCAACCGCTTACTCCAAGGGCGACTACAACCAACACTAGAGCAGGTTAATCATAGCTTTGAGTATGACAACCAAGTATTCAACAAACTCCAAGAATGGAGAGTCCCCCTCTGAACAGACTGTTCCAGGGCTGCATTAAGCCTCAGAAAGAATATTTTCCAAATTTCCTATCTAACCCCAAGCCAAAACTTGTGGCCATTGACCCCTACTCAACTGTTCCACATTGCTAGGAAGATCAAGGCTGCAGTATTCCCTCTAGCCTTCCTCTGAAGCCATGTGCTCTAGGCCCCTGACCACCTTAGTTGCCCTCCACTGAACCCTCCCCAGATTTTTCAACCCCCCTCTAGAACTGGGAGAGAACTTAGTCTGTGGGTCGCATACTAAATTGGGCCTGATGTAGCTCAGTGTGAAGTTTGCCTGTTTGTGATGAGAGGACACTGCTAGCTCCCATTTAACTTGTCATCTGTTGTTGTACCTGGGTCTCTTCCAGCAAGGCTGCTACTGAGCCAGTTGGTTCCCAGCCTGTACTGAACATGTAATTAGTCCGCATAAGAAACAATTTTATTCTTCTTATTGGCCTTCATGAGGTTTCTGTTGGCCCAAATGGTCCCACTGGACTCAAGATCTACCATTTGCTGTATCAATCACTCCTCCTTATTTTGCATCCTCTGAAAATACGAGGATGTATTCTGTCTCAACATCCACTTGTCACCAGTCACCAAATACTGAGCCTGTCACTATCCATTTGAGCCTGGTGGTCCATGCAACATTCAAATCTAACATTGCTTTCATCCAGGACACATTTCCTCAGCTTCCAAACAAGAATGCTGTGGGACAGCGTCAAAAGCCTTACAAAAACCTTTCCTGCTCTCCTCCCTTTCCTCATCCATTTTACCTTCTGTGATGAAATGGCTGACCATCAAATCAAGCTGGCTGAGAATGAACTCTCCTTCGTAAATCCATGTTCGCTGATCCCGATTACCTTCTTGGCCCTTACATGCTCAGAAACAGACTATGAGCGGTATTCCCACAGACTGAGTTTGAGCTGCTCAACCTGTAACTCCCTGGATGCACTTTCTGATCTTAGAGACACACATAGCATTACCCCCCCACCCCACCCGCAGTTATCAGTGACCTTTCTCTACAAGAATTGTTTATAACAGATGATGGACACTTGCCTCACTATCACAGCCACCTTTCTCAGCACCTCTTAGGTAATCCTTTCCTACAGAATGCAAAGCTTTCAGCTTCAAGTGTTCTTGAACCTATTGCTCATTCATTGTTTGCTGGCCCTCTGCTACCTCAACTGTGCTGATATGCACAGTCTTAGGGTCAGGCTTTGTCTATGAAGACTAAAGCAAGAGTGTTTAGTATTTCAGCTTATTCCATCTCCTTCACTAATAGGATGTCCATCCCATTCAACAACAGGCTAAACATTTTCTCTAAATTTCCTTATCTGACAGAACCCCTACTTACGCTCCTTGCTGGTTTTAGCTTCAACTGAGCTTTGGCCTTCCTGTCATCATCCCTGACAACCTAAGCAGTGTTTATACTCCTCCTTTGATGCCTGTCCCTGTTTTCACATAACTTATTACAAGCAAAACTACACTGGGGAAATGAGTATGCAAAAACACATCATCTACCATATAGCTCCAAAATGTGTATGTTCACTTTTGGGCAACCAGTAAAGCAGGCTCATTTGAAAGAAAGAGTTTCACTGTTTGTTTCAAACACTCATTTTGCATAGTAAAAAGTAATTCTAAATTGAGTAAATAACAGGCTGTGATCAAATAAAAGACCAACATTTCATCTCTTCTCTCAGGAATTAACTTTTCCCATTCCCACCATTTTTATAAAAGATCTCCAGACAAAAGTGCATTAAAATAGTTGAAGAAATTACAAAACACAAAAATACTTGTTTCCTCAAATCAGTGTCCATTTGTTATTTAAACAAAGCTATTTTCACTTTCATGGGACCCCTTCAAACAATATTTGTGTCTCCTGCAGTGCCAAATCTCTGCTAGATACAACATAATGCGTGACCCAACTGCCTCATAAAAGCTGCCTATTAAATCTATCTGGCAGACCTGCACCAGTCTCAGCTTTACCTGTTGTACCCTACAGGTGCTCACACTCCCACCTACCCAATGTTTCATTCTGCAGATTAAAAGGCTCACTGTGCTCATCTGTCCTCTGCCTGACCTAACAAGATGGCAAATGGCAGAGAGGAAAGTTATTCCAGATGAAATCTGTCACATTAAAGGAATTGCCACTTGACCTCAGCAGGCAGTTTCTGTGAAAACCTGGCGCATTCTTTTACCTGCATACACATACGACTATGAGCATAGAGGAAAATAATGGTATCATCCCCATGTTTCGTTCTTTGGAATTTTTCTTTGCCTTCACAGACTTCTCTGAAGTTTGTGCTCAAAAGCCTTGCTGGTATATCAGGTCTCCACATCATCTTCATTCATTGAAAGATAAACCACTTCGCTGATAATTATAATCCACAGATATTCCATGGACTGCACAGATGTTAAAACTGAATTATTCTCAGAAATATGGGTTATTGAGTCCACACGCTTTATCTTGATGTAGTAGATCTTTTAACCTTGTGGTTTACTGCTATTGCACACTTCGGGTTTAAAACTGGGTATCACCATCTTGGTATTTTGAAATTATTATATTGCTAAAGTCCACTAGCTAGGTCCCAAAATTCTTACAAGGCTAAAACACCTTCTGAACTAAATAATGTTGAGTTTTTGTCTAGTCACACAGACTATATCACAATGCCTTTGCCTACCACAGTGCATGCAATTTACATATCTTAGTTTATACACATAATTTATCCAAAATATTCCCACCTCCGTAAGCCTCTGATAGCTCAGTCACAAAACAAAAGTGTACATAACAGCAAGAAGTTCAGACAAACCAATGAAGGGACGAAAGGAGCAATGATTCCACCAACACGGGAAAACATGGAGCAGGCACCCATTCCAACATTCCTAAGAAAACAAAAAGTCAAATGTAACTGAAAGCATTCCAAGACAGGAATTAAAACATACACTTCGTTTTTAAAGAGAAGCAAAAATCCTCTGCACGTTCAGAATTCTAACATACATACACATACAGAGAGGCAAAAAAAGGACAATTTTAGTTAATGCATCTTGTTTCTGCCTGAAACTTTGGCTAAATTACTTATCCAAATCTTATTTATCAGCAGATTTGCCCACCCGTGAAAAACACAACAGTATAGTTTCACTAGTGGATGGTCATCAACAACAATACCTGGTTAAAATATCTATTAAAAACTACACTCATATGATAGATGCTTTTGCCTGCTCTGTCGGCACAAGCACAGGGTGCTTCTGCCTCTAGTGAGTGAAATCCTACTGTTGCTTACGTATGGACTATGAAGCATCAAGTTACTTTTACAAAGCTTATTGACCAGTCATCTTCAGTGTTGCTGGTTAAGCAAGTACGAACGTTCAATAGAGTTGTCTGATTTATAAAGCACTGAAAAAGTTACAGGTGTCACTCATTTAAGACATCAGCAATACTATTGTTATCCTCATTATTGGAGACAGGGCTGTGAGTATACCAAGCAGCCAAAGGACTATTTTACCATTACATAGACAATATGGTTAGTCTGAAGAGAACACCGCAAATTTTAGGGAAGAACAGAGAAGAGGATAAGGGAAGAAATTTAGCATATAAAACTACAGATAATCATTATATTTAACTGAAAACTTCAAATGAAAGGTGTAGTTAATAGAAAAAAGTAGAGAAGTAAAGGGTGATCAGGTAAAAGACTCAAAAAAATGAAGACCTTAAAATTAACTTGTGTTACCTGATCACTGTGGGATAAAGTTCTGATGTGTAGATGTAGACAATGTTAAATGCAGCACTGATTGTCAGTTTCCCCAGCAAAGACAGAGAGCGACTATTCACCACTGCAAAAACTCCAGTATCTGACAGAGAAAATGTGACCCTTGTAAGGCTTTCGAGCACTCAAATATATCTCCATAATCATTTCAATCACACAACAGGATGGTGTGAAAATGAATCTACTGAGGAATCTGCTATGACAGTCAAGTGTTTCTCTATTAAAGGACAGTATTTGTCAGAGGTGTTCAGTATCTTCAGAAGAAGTCTCAAAACTCAAGAGAGTCCAAGGAGCCTTCTTTTAGGCAGCAATGGCAGAAATCATTCAACAAAATTTATATTCTGCGTTTACAGATTTATTACCTTTATCTGTGCAATCAAAACTGTACAAAGATGAAAACTCTCCACGTAACACATTGAAAAAATAACTGAAAAATGGATTTTGAATTCATAGGAGACTTGCCACTAGCCCCAAATTGTTTCCATTCTATTAAATATAATCCAACAGAAAAAGACTGGGTTAAATGACTGAACAGTCTCAGAGACTAAAGAACAGAACTACTGCTCAATACCAGAAAAAAGAGAAACTGAGTATTCCTTTCCTTGTCCTCAGTGTTATGGTGACATATTTAAAGCACTAAAATCCTGCATTAAGGCTCTACTAGAACATCAAGTTTTAGAAAGTTAAGATTAAAATCCTATAGACATAGTAAAAGCCAGAAGTAAAACTCCACGTTTTCTGAGTCTACCACTAATAAAATAAACTAGTTCTGTCAGTAAATTGAAGAAAAGAATAATGGGTACATTTTTTAAAGTGAGCAAGTTATTTTACTAACAAAAGCCCTACTCAGTGTCAATTCCATAGTATGACAACATGCTTCTAACATTATTACTTCGGCAGAAAAACAGAAGATAGGAAGGAGGTGTAAAGCACTATACCAAACCTCCCACCCAGCTCAGTTTTTCAGAATGGCCAGTGCTTATTTGCTTCTACCAGACATATTAGGCACACTGAATGCCTATGAAGAAAGGCTACAGCACAAGCCTTTACTGCCTTGAATAAGCCATGCTCAGTCGAGACAGGTGCTTGCTTCTGGCCAGTTAGCCATTTCACTTCCTAAGGTACTTTGCTCCTGGCTGTCTTCGGTAGTTCAGCACACAGATGATTTCCTGGGTCTTGCAGTTCTATCCTCTGAAAATTTCTTTTCGCTATACGAACACTATTTTGTCTGGTACCAGCCTAACCAGAATATCTGAGTGTTTGAGCTCTAGCACCTGGAATATTTCTGGAAACCTCAGTTGCACCCCTTTAAAAAGTTTTATCTATTAGGTTCATTGCCATCTAGAGTAACTTATGCATATGCTCATCATAAACATTCAATCTTTTTGAATAATACTTCAAATGTTTGAAGCATTTTCTTTCCTCATGACAGGTGTTATGCATGCACAAAGCTTACAAGCTGAGATGAACTTATGTACCTAGTTTTCAAAGGAAAAATTGCTCAGCATGCGATTTGATTTCTATCATTTTGAAAAACATCCGAAAATGAAGAAATATTCATGTCTCTCTACAAAAACCACATTTCATTTCACATTTCTTAAAGACCCCTTGCTTCAGAAGATTTTCAGAATCCTCTCTAAGCTACAAATTACATGGCCACATCCCTAATACCACAATCGTACCAGTCTTGAACATCACAGAACAGCAAAGAAAAGATGCAAACTTGCCCCAAGATTCAATTCTTAGGATCTTTTGACATTGGTCTTTCACTTGGAGAGATACACACAAGTTGCAGTTACTACTTACACTGACCTATCATTTGGCTAATGGAGGTAATCCCAAAGAATGATGTTTCTTGGACTAAGTCAGAAACACTGGAAAGGAGTGACTGATGTGATCAGAAGTAAAGGGCAGAATCCAAAGACAAAAGTTCAAGTGCAAGCCTTTCTAACAAGATTTCCTTAAGGTCCTAGGAAGGTTGCTGCTTATCTTTTTTATGAGTTAGCTTCAAAAATTGAGACTCATGTGGTATGAGCCTAACATTACTGACAACCATCACATTCTTAGGCTGCAAAATGCTGTGTTTATAACTTCTCATCACATACTCCAAAAACAAAAGGAAATATTTACCTTTCTTTTTTGGAAGAAACATGACAATAAGACAAGCCAGTCCTCCCAGGAACAGAAACGCACTCAACGTTCGCTTCCGACCAAACCTGATATGCAAGGATAACAAAGCTTTATTCTGCATTAGATCTGTACTTTGCAGAGCAATGAGTCCTCTAAATTCATGTTGCCTCTTTATTTGCAGTTGAATTTTCTGAATGCCATCTCTCAAACACTTCCTCTCACTGTTTTTAAACAAGCTTCTACTGCATTCTTAAAATGAGCATCAAGAAGTCTTTATGCAGCAGCTGACAGTTTCTAGGATTTTGATTTGCATCCTACTGGGTGTGCACGTTTGTAAAACTCCTCAGGAGACACGCAGAGAAGAGATTGGGAGGTGAATGCTACAAAAAGTTAAAGACATTGTATAGAGTATCATGGCTCAGGAAAAGGCTAAATATCTGAGCCAACAGCTCTGCTCACATACTAGTGCGCACAGCAGCTATTACACGAAACCATACGACAGCTTCAGCTGAGTTTAGTTGCAATAGCTTTGACATAACACCGAGAACGGGGATGACAAGTCAGAGGTGGGAAGAATGCCATCTCGCGTTAGCACGGAGTCAGCACAGCCAGGTTCGACTGACAAGGAGATCAGCCTCACCTCTGAGCCAGAGTTAGACAGCTCTTTAATAAGTGAGCTACTGAGAACAAGTTAAACTGTTATTTGAAATAAAGATATCTCAATAGCACTTTCAAATAAAAATGCACTTTCAAATAAAAATGCATTTCCTAGGAGAATATAAGTAGCAACACTGAAGCAGAAAGCCCCACACAACAGACATAAGCTAGGAGATGCAATATACAGGAAAGCCATCTTTGAGAAAAATTATTAATAAAACCATCAATGAGTTAATAAATTTTACACTTACCATTTTTGGTTAATCAAGTAAATACAAATCGGGTATGCTGGGATTTCTATCAACCCTGAAAGGGCTAAATTGGCATAAATACTTCCACCTAAGTCACCCACATTAAGGGTAAGACCATAGTAAACCAAGCTACACACAAACCTGCAAAAGACAGAAGAGTAAAATCAGAGCTGCTGCTTTGCCTGCCAAATCAAAGCACTAGTCTATATTTAGTGTTTCAGAAGATAGGTCTAAAACACTTCCCTGCAAGTGCATGATGCTTTTTAGGTAAAGAAACCATTTTGTCTCTGCACAGACTCAATTCCTGACTTATTACTCAGTTAAACTTAAGACTACACTTCAGAAGAATATGCATAAGCCAGAATAAAGTTAAAATATAATAATGATTATACGATTTGATGTCTTAGTTCATAATTTTCCAATTGTGTATAAATCCTAAAGTGAAACCCGATAAAAGCAAAAAGGACAATCTCAAACAGTTCAGATAGCACTTCTCTCTTCTTATAATTGCTACACCCTAGTCCAGTTTTATCCATTATCCAATTCTGATTTTTTACTTTTCTTTTGTAACCCTGCCTGGCTGTTTTCTTTACAGAGAGGAAAGGAACCAGTCACTTCTGCAGGAAATCAGCAATTCTCATTAAGGGACAGAAAAATCAAGTATTCTGCAGTAAGATCTTTGGAAAAGCAACAGAAAAACAGCTGTGTTGTCTGCTGACAAAATAACGTCATTTGGTGGTTGTTTTTTTTAACCAATACATCTTCCCAAATATATGCATTCAAAAGCAACTGTATGAATAGTAATACCAGAGGACTCACATACCACATCATACATAAGCTTTACTTCAAAGTGGCAGCAAAAGACCTTGGGGCTAGTAGAGATATCTGAAACAAAACAGGCACTTTCGGAGAGTTAAAATTTCTGCTAGTGACTAGAGGTAGCTCCTGGTTCCTGTTCCCACCATGGGTTCCTATGCCTTACTACAGGAACTGCTAGCACTGGTAGCACTTTCTCTTAAGAAAATACACACTCATTAGACAAGCTAGGCCACCCACCTCCTAATGGGCTCATTACACACAGAACAAAGAATAATCCATGTAACACATAGCACTAGGCCAAAGAGGAAGACAGCATGACTAATCTCAGCAACCTTTGGGGGTCAGAAAGGAAGAGATAGTTCATAACTTTGAGACTCAAAATGTGACAGAAATGCAAAGATAAAACACCTCAGAACTAGATTGTAAAAATAGCTTCAGAACAGAAAGGCACTAAAGAAATACTATAATACAAGGATCCCTTTTAGGTACAGTGTCCCTAATAATACAGGCTGAGACCAGGTATAATCTGCAGGATAAGCCAATCCTCAGCAACGTGCAGTCTCAAAGACTTAAAGAGGCAACAGTAGCACAGCTGGCCCTAAAGTATTTCAAATACCAGGTAAACATCATGATCAAGGTGCGTCCCAGGAGAATCTTATATCGGAACAGATCCAAGAAGCTGCCAGCCTCTCTGGAGCTCCTCTCTGCTGGGAGTTTTAATGAAAAAGTGCACTTCTGCTTGCGGTTCCTCTTCGCAATGAGGTAGAGGGCATCTTCTGCTTCATTCAGCCGGCCTTGTGAATACAGCCAGCGAGGGGACTCTGGAATGAATCTGAAACACATATTGTACACAGACAGCTTTAGGGCTTTTCTCTTCTACGGTGCCGGACTTGTCTATGGAAATAATGCTGAAATACATTTCAGAATCACAAAGCATTTTTCAAACAACCTTTCAGGTATAGAAGTCATCTACTGAAACAGAGACAAAGCATGTTCAAAGGCAAAGGTACATAAGTAATACTTAATTTAGATACTAAGAAATTACATAGAGTATATACACACACACATGTATATACACACAAAATACTACAAATTACAGTATCATTAGGACTCTCAAGAGAATTTAAAATTAAGGACACACTACATTACTACAAACAACTACAGGATGTTTTTGTAACACTAACTAGTTGTCTTCTGTTCCTCATTTTCCAACTTTTCCCCCCATTCTCTCCTGTAGACAAGAAGGCAAAGGCTGTACAAAGGTCATGCTCTTGCTCCCCATGTGCACTGTTCACTTGATAGGTCTAACTTCAACACAGCCTACAAAATAAATCTCCTTCTATTACTTTCAGATTCCCAAACCTAACTTAAACTTTAGCCTTTTGCCAGAAGCTTTTAAGATTTTTGCCTCTGACTAGAAGAGACATTTTACCTTTAAAGGAACATGATTCTGTGATTTTATAAGAGAGCTTGGAAAGGAACATGTTTCTGATGCTTCTTTTACTAAAGAGTAAACACACCCATTCAAAGAGCTTTATCCAAAAAAGCCGGTTATTGAAGTTAAATAGATGTTGGAAGGAAAAAAGCCTCAAGTTTCAATTGCAGATTAAGTTATTTTCTTCTTTCAGTTACTGATGTTTTACTGTCAGGAAGTATACAAGAAAAGAAGAGCACACTGCATCATATAGCATTCAGTGCTGAAGTTCACAGAGTCCTTACTATCCTTCTTCCTAGTTATTTTTCAAATGTGATTAGGAAAAAAAGGAAGCTACCTTTTTTTGCATATCACCTTTAAGACTGTATGTGCAAGCAATTTTGATGCTGTTCCTTCTGCATAAGCACATTTATAAGATAAACACCATGTTATAGCATAACTGCAAAAATATTTCTGTTATCTTTTAACTTGTATATACCGGACAGTTTAGATCATCTATATGTACCAGTTAACTAGGATGTGCTTCTGCACCACTCGAGACTGTTCCCATCTACAGTGACAGTGCATATCCAATATAGTGTACACTTACTTTTTCAAATACTGCCACACTGCTCTTTAAACAAAGCACAGAACACGGGGTGGTAGAGGTTGAAAGAAATACCTTAGTTACATCACTTTGTATCATCCTAGAAAAGCACCTAGATTTAGTTCGGTTTTTTGTTTGGTTTAGGGTTTGGTTTTTTTTTTTTTCTTTTCTTCTTTTTGACATCTTTCTTGACAAAACTCAGTTTGAAAAATAACTTACAGAGAGAGAAGAAAGATGACTGTTCCTTCCAGGTTAACCACAACAGCCAGAGTCCTCCAGGAACGAATGAAGTAGCCTAATAAAGCATACTGGGCAATTCCCACAGCAAAGAACAAGCCACCAATAGATCCTAATACACAATTAAAACCAAAACAAAACATTATCCCTCCTTTAAGGAACATTATTAACTCTCTACACATTGGATCAGACAGAAACTAACACCTGATTAAGAAAAATTCACTCAGCAATACAGGCAAAACTACAGATATTTAATCAAAGAACATTCTGTCTTTCAGCAATGCAGGGCAGAAATATTACATCTAACTGCAGAGATCAATGCAAGTCCAAAAAGCACCATTCTACACGCTCCTCACCCAAAGCCCCACAAACAATTAAGTCCTGTAATTCCAAATATAAGTATGTTTCAGCTTTCTATGTGTAAAAATAAATACTACAAACCATTGAAAAACTGGTATTCTTAGGAATATATAGTATTCATTTGTAGCTCTCATGATTTGTAAGCTGTCCTGTTTTAAAACAGTCTCAGCATAGCACTTCTTCAGCACTTATCACAGACTGGGTAAGCCAGGTCCCAGAGTTGTAACAGTACAATTTACACACATCATATCTGAAGGACAGCTTCAACTTTTTTTTTGTTTTTTTTTAACACATAAACAATAGTTATCTCATCTTCCCATTATATAAATACTTCCCATTTCTTTGAGAACTGCCAGGAATGAAAGAATCGATACTTAGCATACAAACACTAAGCTCTGTTTAGCAGAGTCCAAAATTCTGATGGACAGAGCTCAGCTATCACAATCCTTGGATGAGTATTTAGCTGCATAACAGTCACAGGAGATGTTTCAACTGGACCTTGGTCAACTTGAGCGATGCAGAATTCTGAATGGCCGCAAGCCATCTACTATGCTTGTCTAAGGTTCATATTAAGCAAAGCAGGGCTCAGACTGTGGTCACACAGATCCTCAGAGTTAAATTTGCTACTGCTATGGTGTTAGCTTTGGTGAGTCTCAAGTAGTGTGAGACTGAAATCTACAAATTCTGACAATAAAGACACCAACATTCAAACTTTACCTGCTAATGCCCAGTAGGCAGTACCCACACATTCATTCAGTAGAACAAAGGCCACCAATGACATCCCACCATTCATCATCCCTACCAAGAAGCGAGAGATGGCAAAGAATTCATATGAGGGTGAGAATCCATTTGCAATGGCAAACAAGATATCCATGGCAAAACCTGAAAAACAAGGCAGAAGGTTTCATGTCAGAAGAGTGCCTAAAGAAAAACAGAAGCATTTATCAGCATCTTTATTTGATGTTCAGTGGCATCTGTCCTAAGTAATCACAGTCAACAACTACAACACACTGCTACATACCACAGGTTTGGGCAGAAATTTAAGCACCTAAAGTCTATCATAAAAGGGAGGACACAAATGGAGTGGTTTCTGATACATAATTTCCAGTACTAAATCTTCAAATTCAGTTCATGGCAGACAATTTTTTCCACACACTCAGAACTACTGCCTGGCTCCAGTTAAGATGGCTTGATATTTATCCCCATACAGAAGCCACAGATTAAATATGTGACCAAGTATCTACCCTCATTTTTGGAAAGTTGTCCATACAGACTAGACAAGAGAAACATTACCAGGGGACAATACATGGGGAGTTTGCTCTGCATAGCAGGCCCACCTTTATCTGCTCTGAATAAGGTTGTTCCTTTAAAAAAATGTTTAATTCTACACGTTCATGCATTGACATACAGCTTTATAAACACGTATACAAAACATGAAGTTCCAAATGTTTGAACTGGGGACAGTAAACAAGCTTATGAGCTTTAAAACACAATGAGCATCACAAATACATAAAAAATGAATTATGTAGAAAGAAGATAAAAGGTACAACAAATTCCTAGCAGGTTATACATGCAAGGACATTGTTAACAAATTACTAGAAATATTAATTACAACCTGTGGAGACCCCATGAGCACAACATGCATGACTAAGCCCTTATGGTACGATTCCTAATGCAGAATACCTTGACTGAACAGTCAAATATTGATTTCTTGCCCCTACTTATATTTCTGACGTATACCGGAAGGACTAAAAAAAGTCACAGCTCATTATTCACTGCTGCATTATCAAGCTCTCAGCAGAAACTGGGCTCTCATCACTGATCTTCAGAGACATGACACCTCCACTTCATTCTTTTTGTTAGGTAGCAGTGGTTACCTGTGAGATAGACTTTCTTCCTCCCGAAGCGATCCGAGAGCTGGCCAAAGGAGATTGCTCCAACAAACACACCACTGAAGTAGAAAGAACTGGCAGCACTGACTTTATACGATGTGTTGCCAATTAAAAACCACTGGATAGAGGGGAAAAAAAATGGGTAGAATTAACCAGAATCCAAGCAGTTCACCAACAGCTAATAGCTAGAGGGAGGTGACACATAGTTTAAGGAAGATCAAACTTTGCATAAATCTCCTAAGCATCACATTCAGTCAGTCATCAGATAGTTGCCAAAACACAAGTGCTGTCTCCCAGACTCATCGGGTGGTACCAACCAATTGCACAGTTCCCTCAAATCATGCGCAGTCTTTGATTCTGAAATAAAGGACCGATCCCTCACAGAATATTGTAATTTTTTCAGCCTTCTCCCATTCTCCCTTTTATTGCCATTTCTCACATAAATCTATTGCCTAAATAGACTCAGTCCTACCTCTTGACATATGTCACTGCAGTGTGTAGGCATATTATGCAAAAATAAAAATTGTGGTTTATATCCAAAGATAATCCTGCATAGTCTCCTGCTTATGAACTGTCTTGTCACTAAGAAACACTTTGGTAGCATCACACAGGTTTTCTGGCCTTGGAAGTACTCATCTTTTTTTACAGTCTACTTTGCGTCATTTCCATTTCTTCTCAATTCCAAATACAAACTGATCATCGTATGTTCGATTCTTACAAACTTAATGTCTCAGGCTGAACCTGACAGGAAATTATTTCTCCCACAAAACTGCAGAAAGAAAATATGCCATGTTCTCACTGTTCAAAAGTTATTTCCTTTTGCATTCTAAAAACTCCACATCCTGTGTTTTCTTTTTCTACTCCTCTTACATCTTGAGATAATGTTTCCTCTTAGTGACACCCACCTTTTCTTCCTGTGCTGGTAAGATGGTGATTATGTAATTAGCCCTGCAATAACACTCTAATCTTCTCATAATCTTCTCTTCCTCTACCAAAACCCCATTAGATATCCTTTCTAGCAAAGCTGATATAATTTCAAAGCTCAGTTATAAACCACCTCACCATGAGAGCAGAGCCATGCAATTAAACCTCACCAAGACTAGGGAGCTAACAAAATAAAATTATTCAGAAGCTCCACGAAAACAACGTGCTTACTCTCAGTATATGCTTCATTTTGAAGTGTCACTTTAATGGTGAGGTGTTTACTGACATAGTAGGTAATGGCCCATAAAGCGTCAAGACTAACAAATTTTGTGGTTATGGACCACAAATCAGCTTTTGAAGCTTCTCTAGAATTTAAAAACAGTTCCCCGAAAAATACATTTGTATAATACTAGCATATGATATTAATTTTACCTTGAAATTACATGGTCAGTCTGTTTTACAAGAGCTACAAGAATCATGCCCTAACTTTTGGCATAAATTAAAAAGGCTGCCAACACTGAAACTCAGTGACATTAGATGCTTTTTGAATCATTCAGGGATTAAGGGATAACTTGGTTGTGAAGGAAAATTTGTTCTGCAAATTAATCTCAGCAGCTAAGAAGCCCTTTAAAGGGCTCAAGGCTTTTCTCTTCTACACGAAGCATGTTACATATACATGCCTGATACTCATAGCCAAGTTTTTTACATCAGAATATCTTTCAGTGTAAATTTGCAATGGTCACGTTATTAGTAAGTGATGCCACAAGATAAGCACGAAAAACATCCTCCTCAAATGTAGGAAAAGCTTCTTTACACATCAGTAATGATAACAGATAGTGATAGATATTCCCCAAATAAGTGTGATATCACTAAAATCTTTGCATTTAGCACATAACTTCCAAATATACCACACATTCAGCTAACATTTTGAAAAAACTGTGTTTTAACATTTGGAAACAGGAGAGGTAACAATTTTATACACATGGGCCTTTACTGAAAAGTATGTTAAAGAACTTCAAAGCAGAATCTACAGCAGTTGTCACAGATTTTTTAAAATTTTGTATTCTTCAAGTAAACTTCATTCTTTACCTGCATTTTTTATCTATGCAACTAAAATGCATGAGTCTTTAAAAAATTTATGTCCTAAAACACTGCTAGGCTCTACAAACATGTCTAACTTGTCACGTTCAAGAGAATAACAGATTCTTGGACAAATTAAAAAGCAGAAATGAAAAAGCCCAGAGAAAGCTTGAAAACCTTACTAAGCTTTAAATAATGCTTAAAAAATTCCCCCATCCATTACGATTTCAATTAAATAATGGCATAAGTACTCATATCCTTTTTATTACCAGAATAAGAAGCAATGCCTGTTGTACACAACTGCTTGGTACTATTCCAAAGTTGACAGTTTTTATTAATATGCCCATAACCAATAAAGTCCTACTTTACAGGACTAATTCAGATAGCATTAATGCCTCTGGACAATAGCCATGAACTATCAAGTGGCTATTAACTGAATAGCTCTAAACTCAGGTCTTGTAACAGATGCACTCAGATAGGGCTCTTGCACAGAACAGTTTGACATTAACAGATACTGAAGGCCCCAGGAAGGGCAGGTGTTGCACACATCAATGCAGGTGTTGCACACATCAGTGCAGAGTCTGGAATCACTTCTTTCGTGGTCTAGCCACAGTCCCTACAGAAGACACCTGCAAAACACAGAGGCCACACCAACAAAGCTAAAGATTGTTTTGGGATGGAAAGGGGGGAGTTGCTTTGTCCACTTGACTCCTCACTGCCCATGCCTTCCCTCACATCTGGAGTCGCAAAGGCTGCAGAAGCCACTTCCTCTCCAGTTCCTCCACTGCTTGCTAACTGCATGACGGATGCATTACACACATTTGACCTTAGCAATGTAATAACAAGAGGTGGCCAGAAAGAGCTCAGGGTCCATAAAGGATTTTGAGCACTTTAATACAATGACTGGCATTATTCCAGCTCAATTGTGGAACCAAGCTACAGGATCCAATACACAGCTTCCACATGGAAAAGGTGGGAAGTTTTGCAGCAGAAGTTTGGTCAAGATCTGCACAGGAAAATAAAGCTAATTTTTGTTGCCAGTAAAGATATGAATAGATTACCTGTTTTCCATCTGAAAGTAGCACCTGTTTCATTTGCTAATCAAAACATGCATTAGTATGGGAGAAAGAAGCAGTACAACCAGACCCTCGCAACTGACCCCATAAGATTTACTACTCACACACAAGCAGCAAAAGACATTTCAGACTTACCTCAGAGACTATTGATGTGAAGCTTCTGCTGAAGTGTATGTGCTTATGCACCTCACTGCCATTGGCAGTCAGAAGCCATTCCCCAAAAGCTCTCTGCTCACTCGCTGACTGGTTGCTATGGCTCTGATTAGCTGAGAGCTCTTGGAGATCCCAGTGGTAGGGAGGAGTTGCACCCACCAATGCGATGAGGATGGCTTCAGTGGCCACATAGAGCTGGCATGCAAAAAAAACATCAAAGATGCTCAATATACATCCAAGTAATGTTTTGTCTGCAGAGAGATCAAATCAGTATTAAAAAAATATTCCTATTTTCTATTTGTCTTCTACCACTACAAGAGGCCATGTTACCCACCATCTACCAAATACCACACACTGAAGAACTACATCTTAAACACAACAGGTCTTCTACTTCTTATCTTTTGATTATTTCAGACAAAAGAAGTTCCCCCCCTTACACCCTCCCCTCAGTCAGAGCCTCCCCATCTCTCTCACACAGCAAGTACACCTCCTGGATTCTTGAAAAGTTGTTAGTAGTACTAAGCAGACAACATAAAACTATTCTTCATGCAAGGATATTGCTCTACCACATCCTCTCCCTCCACCTGTGTTGTTCATGCCTCTAATCTGATATTTGGAATACATTTCCTCCTCACTGTTTCATATCTAATCTTTCCCAGTTTTACCAAGATTAATTCTTTCCTATTTCTTAATCTTCTGTGAACCTGTTTTACTCTCAAAAGAGAAACAGAGGCACACACATGAATGTACATATGCATTTTTTATACTTGTACACATTTATACACACACAAGGTCTAAATACAGTGATTAACAGCTGGCTTTGTTTAGAAAAGAATAAATAAAACTGCTGGAAATCCACACATTTCAAGCTTGATCTAGAGCTGGGTCACTGCTGCTTGCTCAGAACATTCACAGCCCACTGCTTTAAATCATAGAATCCTCAGTTGGAAAATACCTCTAAGATCACCAAGTCCAACCAGCAACCCAACACCGCCACGCCTACTAAACCATATGCCAAAGTGCCACATCTACACCTCCCTAGGCAGCCTGTTCCAATGCCTGACCACTGTTTCAGTAAACAAATATTTCCTAATATCTAATCTAAACCTCTCCTGACGCAACTTGAGGCCACTGCCTCTCATCCTATCACTAGCTAGTTGGGGGAAGAGACCAACACCTGCCCCATTACAACCTCCTTTCAGGTAGTTGTAGAGTGATAAGGTCTCCCCTCAGCCTCCTCTTCTCCAGACTAAACCACCCCAGCATTCAACTCTGTCCTCACAGTCGTTGAGCTCTACACAATTAAAGCAGTCCCTAACATACAGTGCCACCCCATCGCCTCTCTTTCCTCACCTATCCCTTCTGAAGAGTTTATAGCCATACATCGCAGCACTCCAGTCATGAGTCATCCCACCACATTTCTGTGAAGGCGACCAAGTCATAGCTGTCCTGCTGTATAATGGCTTCCAGCTCCTCCTGTTTATTGCCCATGCTACTTGCATTGGTGTAGACGCACTTCAGCTGGGCTATTGATCTCACCCCCAACCCCAGCATGCCACACCTGGGCTCGTCTCTAGTGAGATTCTACATCGCAGCTCCATCTTAAAACCCACTGGTTTTAGACCTGTTTGAACACAGAGATGCCATGAGTTCTGCAATAGAAGACAGATGATAAAGTCTTCTGAGACAAAAGCAGTTGCCAGTAACAACAAAGACACTCCCCCCCCAGCAGCAGCCGAAAAAAAAAAAAAAAAAAAAAAAAAAAAGGATCCTGTTGCTTCTCCTGCCTACTTCCTCCATACAAAAACCTTAGCCATGCCGCTCCACTCCTCAAACCCCACATCAGACACCTCCTGAATACAGTCCTTGCTGTACTCACAGCGTCTTCTCCTTGTATGTTCTTAAGAATGCTGCCACAGGAAGGGTGATCTCTCAGAAGGCTGCTACAAAATAATTCTCAAAACTGGGAAGACCACAGATAGGCACAAAAAAAAGAAGTTTAAGGACCTCTGAATTCTGATATAAGCAACACCAGGTAATCCTATTCTGTTCTTAACAACAGCTGAGCTGTCAGTTACACCCATATCTAAATGACGATTACTAGTAAATTAGCACAGAGACCCCCGAGTTATTACCTGAAAGCATTTTCTTTCCATCAGCTCCTTTTTGCATTCTACATAACGGCTACTGTAGTGACAGGAGGTAAATAAATATTTAAAATCATTCTCTTCCAATTTTTTAATATATCTTATTGCATATCAACAGGAATTTGGAAGAAAAACCACAATCTGTTAACTACGTTATTATTTAAAGGACAACTTCTAGACAGACAACAATGAAAAGTAAAAGACCTCATCTGCAAAACAAGGCAATGACTAAGATCACACGGGCAAAAGAGGTGTCAAAAAGCTCAGTGGCCATGTTGCTAGGGTTGTATGGATACAGTACTCAAGAACAGTTTGAAAATACTGAGAAATGAGAATTACAGGTCACAATCTGTGGTATATCCCTGTACTCTGACTCAATCAGACAATTCCGTGTCAGAACTAAGTGATAACATCCTTCCTTTTGCCTTGTGAAATAATAAACATATTTTTAATTAGTTCAGGAAATGAAATCCTTAAGGTGTTTAGTTTAGAGAAAGAAAGCATAACACTTCATTTTTGCTCTAAGTGAAACCCACCCCAGCTGCAGAAAACTAAATCAAAAAATACGTGGCTGCAGTCACACAAAGAAACATTAGAGATTTTTTTCAATAAAAAAGTTCATACTTAAGCATCCTAGTGGCTGCAGCAAGCAAGGATACAAAGACAGAAACACTTCCAATTGTTCTGGTGAATCAGAAAAATGTATGAAGTTGGAGACATGTTTTGATGTTATCAAATAGCATTATTCTATATTCAAGTTCACTGGAGTCACTGCCATCACAAGATTTTTTCCTAGTGGTCATGCGCCTTGTACTTTGGGTAACAGGTATGGCAAATCCTCTTCATTTCATTGTAAAACTAAAATAATGCTGCAAAACATTCCACAGAACTCATTTACACTTAAGACCAGAAATATTTTCTAGAAGTAGTCTTAAATGGATGAAATAAACTCCAAACTTAAAAGAAAATCTGAATACCATTTTTAACATTCAAATAAAAGGCAGTGGTTTATTAATGAATCTGGAGATTTTCCCCTTAAGAATTCTAAATGATTGCACTTAGCAATAACATCGTTGTGTAGACTGGTGATCAATATAAAATGCTACTGAACAGAAACATAACAACTTTAAGGTATAAAATGGCTACATTATACACAGCGGCAAACAAAGCCTTTTATTTTTTATTTGTTCTATAACCCATATAATACAAGTCAAGTGAAATTTACGTCATTTAACATATACCTTCTATTCATAAAAGATTTTAACTGGTTCTATATGGATGTTAACAGTTGCTCACCAAATTCGCTACACTGATTTGTGTTAATCAAGATGAATACCAAGTACAGACACAGGAGGCAGCAGCAGCTCATAGTCACTGATGCAGTGCTGAGAGTTTTGTTAGTGTGGTTTAAGTTCCTCCCATTTGTTTATATTCTCTGTAGGTTAAAATTTTATAGTTGTCTAGAAGTCCATGGTATAAGCAGATTTAAAGGCAGCATATTAGTAACCTGTAAACTTTCACTGCTAAGAAGGAATTATAGTTAGCTATTTATAGCTATTTTATTAACACGTTTTGAAATTAACTTAAAATTAACATTTAAAAATTAATATTAATAGAAATGCCTGGAATGTCTTGACCAGCATTCTTGGTGTTCATTTTCATAACAAGTTACAAGAAAAATGTAGAATCTCCAACAAGACTAGCACGGGACGGGGAGGAAGAACTTGAAAAGTTTTATTTGTTTATATTTTTGTGTGTATTTTCACTAACTTAATAAATTCTTTTACATCTCAAAATTTACCCATTATGAAGCACAAATGAAAAACAAGAGCAAGACTTCAATGCTACTAAGCAGTGCTTTCAACCTTTTTAATCAGCTCATTAGCTGATTCAACATCATTCAGCCTTGTAATTCTAACCAAGCATCAGCTGAAGCATTCACTGCTGAACAAAATGAGTAAGCCACCAGTTTCTGCTCTTTCAGCTACAGAAACATAAAAACTGCACCTTGAGGAAAGACAAATTAAGGAATAATAATGAATGACCTTACTCTGGTAGAAGCCTATGATGAAGAGATGGTTAGATTTTAGAGTCAGTCATTTCTCCTGAGCCTATGACAAGCAGCTGAAAAGCTGGAGGGCCACCTTATTTTTGAAAGTCTGATGATCTCATCTGCTCTGACTTATTTCAAAATGGTGACTTGCCTTTAAATTCACTTGATTTTTTTTCCCCTCCCTGAATAACTCTTTTGTGTAGGAAAGCCCTAAAACATCTTTCTGCTGCAAAATTCTTATCTGCTGCTGACAACACGCTCTTCTACCAAAGTATCTTTTCCCTCTTGGCAGCACAGTAAGAGAGACATGGTAAGACAGAATGAAAGGCTATGTTGTAGTTACAAAGCAAAGAATCACCAGGTGCAGAAGAACACAATGTAATCTCTCAGACACTCAACCACCCCAAACCCACTCTGATAGGAAACATTCCCCATGAAGAATGTAACCACTGTTGATTACCTGTGCAACTACACATTCAACACTTTTTGAAGGAACTTTGGGTTTCTGTAGAGAAACTGAGAAAATCTAACCAATTTAGAATTTTTCAACCTTAAAATTCAGGACTCCAGAATCCACAGAAAAAAGTCTATGCTGATATCTAACACTGTAGAGCAAACCACAGCCCTATGAGCCTCATTTCCTACAGGCTTGTGGAAAATGTCCCCTTCGCCTCTGTTCCAAACACCCAAACACACACATCAGAACTCTGTTTCATGCTCAGTATCATTTTGGTGGACAATGACAGCAGTAAGGGTTCGGTGCTCCTTCTGCTCAGACCGGCCAGGCAGCACATGTGCCTATCAATCTGGTGACTGGCATTGCCACCAAACAAGCACATCCACAGGCAAGGCCTGCTTTACTTCCCACCAGCACAGCCAAGCATCTGAGTCTCAAGAGCAAATAACTGCATTGTAAGAGCTTTCTGCAAAGACAGTCCAGGTAACAGCCAACTCCTGTGTACAAAGCTTTGCCTGACAGGGCCACGGGAACACCGCACATGCCTAGTACCTGTACTCCTGTGTGGGAAGCCATATAACTTGAGACAGAACAGCACTGTCTCATGACCCTGAAGGATCAGAGCATCCTGTGTCTCCCTTCTCTGTTCTCAGGAGATAAGCTGTTTTCACACATCCCGCTGCAAAAGATCCTGGAACACAGCAACTGTGAACTGGCATTCGCAAAGCCGTGAATCCAAAGCTGGCTGGCTCTAGTAACTATTGTATTAGTATATAAGGTATTCACTTGAGCAATAAAATGATTCTGATCGAGCACAGGATTGGGGTCCGTGAAGTCATTCACCACACTCCTGCCTACCTAATGATGACAAAACCAGTTATGGCATTGGTGAGAGGATTGCAGAACACATACCTAGGCTCTCAGCTCCTCAGCTGAAGTCACTTTAATAATTATTTTGTAGTCTATCACAAGAAAATGAATCTATCCTTTCCCTGCCAACACACAGGAGTGATCTTTACAACAGCAAAATTTGGTGAAGTTACTTTCAGCTCTACACTTTTTTCACTAGTGCCATCCTAGAGATTCAGTACTTCTAGGTGAATTAATACCATTTGAGATTTCTCAGTTACTGTCAATGAACCCAAGGCAGACGGTATGTCAGAGTCTGCTTATAACTGGAGAGCAAAACATAGGGTGGAATGTAGATGGTGACAAAGAAAAGTCAAAGTTCCACAAAGGGATTGCCAAGAACAAAACAATATTCTCTACACAAGATCACGAGTGAATTTAACTCTGAATATGCATACTTCATTAAATTGTGCCAACAGCATTAGATTCTTCTACCTCTTCCAACACCCCATTCTCCCAAACACCAGAATACAAAAATAAGAAAGCTTACTGTCGAGAAACAGGTTGCTATTACTTCCTGCAAGCTGGATTTCTCCACAGTGCTATAGATACAGATAGCGAGTTTGCTGTTAAGAAATCAGCTGTTAATCCAAAGCAAAATCTTGCAAGACAGTTATCTATATGGTTTGCTCTGGGACAGATGAAACAACTTACAGGATTGAAAAGAACTCAGTATGGTTCCTCTACTGTGGTACACCAGTCTCTTGAATAAGTTAACACCTAGTGTGCCACCTACCATAGCACTATTAAAAATGACCATAAATACATTTTTTTTCTTAAAAATAACATAGTATCATGTGCATTTCCTGTACCTCCTAAGGAGACCTGGAATATGCTAAAGACCGAGAAGAGAGAAGCAGGAGGTACAATGTTTCTGGCATGTTATAAAATACACCACCCTGAAAAGAAAATCTCAGCCTTGCCCGACAAAGCATAAAGTTCAGTGACAGAAATGAACAGAAGTTTTACTGTATGTTTAAACAATTAGCACAGCAGCTGACTGCATGCTGGTAGACCACAAACATGAGCCCAGAACTCCTTCAGGCAGTATAGCCTAAAGCATTTGCATTTTTGTAGTGTGCTGGACTATGTGCAACATCACTTAAGAAAGGCAAGCATACTTACCCAGCATGGGCCCATACACTGCTTCTCAGAGGGCTGGGACAGGACTTGCCACTGCTATGACTGGATCACCTTGAGTAAGGTAAATAAAGTCACCCTCACATAACAGGTTGACAGGCCTAGGAAGAT